AGGGTTTTTGATTAAACTAGCTGTTGTAGCCCTAGCTAGTCTGCAACTTGATATCCCCTCGCTCTCACTGTCTTCATCACTGCTCCCAATTGCGACACTCACGCTAAGTTTTCCCTTCGCTTTTCCTTTTTTCGACTTTTTCCCTTGCCTCAACTCTGGGTGCTGCCTAAAACAATTCTTGTTTCTGTGTTGATGGGTACACAGCATGCAGTAGTCATTTGGGCCCCCAACAGCTTTCTTCTTCCCTCCATCGTTCCTCTCGCCCTCGCCAGTCATCACCATCACCTGCCCCGACGACTTCCCTTTCGACTGTCCAACTTGGCGAAGCGTTGACACCCTCGACTCGAGCGGCACATACCTGTTCTTTCCGTTTGGGATCTTGGTCTGCCTCCAAGTATCCAGCCAATCAACACTCTCTGTTCCCAAAACGAAAAGAAAATTTGCTAGCCCATGGCGTACAGTGTATGGATTGTCCGAGTCAGAAATCGATTGCTGGTGATACATTGACTCAGCGGCACTGTTAACGCTCAAGTAGTGCAGCATAAACTTGTCGCAGTATTCTTCAATTGTTGTGAACTTTGTGTTGATTAAATTTCTGATGGCAGTCTCATATGGTGTGGCCGCGCTTTCCTCTCGAGTCGTTGCTATTGTGTCGAATATTTGCTTCGCTGAAATTCGCCGAAAATTCTGGGGACGAACACTTGGACTTAGCCGTCGGAGCAGGACATTTTTCGCCTCAATTTCTCCCTCTTTCCACCTCGCAAGTTCCTCCGCGTACTTCGCCGAGGTCTTGCAGAACTCGTCGTCGGTTTGATTTTCTCCCCTAATCGGTTCACTAGGTCGAAATACCGGTTGAATTTCCTCGAAGTCATGAAATACATGGGCTAACCGACCTTTCTTGATCAGGGCCGCCTGGAGATCCGATTCCCAGTCCGCAAAGCTTACTCCAGGGGTCAAAACGATTGCTGAGCTTTTATTCATATTGTAAGGTGGTGTATATCTTTGGAGAAGTTAGGATGACTGGTTTAAAGCATTATCGAGGTGCCACAGAGAAGAACTCCGGGCTCATAACCTGTTATATTAACTGGGCTATATAGGAGCAGGACGATGGATACTCTTGGGGAAGTTATGCTCACAGTAGGTCTCTATAGTTGCTGTCGCGTGTGTCCTCGTGATATGTAAGACTTGACAATATATTCTCCTATAAAGGAAACTTAGTTACAATGACTGGATGGTGGTTGAGACCTCCTTATATCTTGCTCCAGACTTACTGTGTTGTTCACAGCCTAGTGCTAGAACATTCCCTTATGATATCATTTCTCTCCTACGAGAAATGACCATCTCGTTCTCTCTCAGTCTATCAGTCTCTCGCTGATTCCATTATCTCTATTCCATCGAGTTCTAGTTTGGTCCAGTATACTCACACATGCATTACACACTAAACACCCCGCGGTTTAGTTCCACAGTCACGTACATATGCTTTTTTTTTGCATCAGATTTTAATTGCGTATGCAGCTATCTAGCTATGACACAATATCAAAGAAAAGTACAGAAAAGATGACTCAGTTTACAAGAGGAGTACTCATGCCTCGGATTTCATTTGCAAGTACCACTGCGAAGTTATGGTGGCTTTTTCTTCACCCCAAGTCAACCCTCATCCGTGAATACCCACCCAGGGGAACGTCTCAAAAACCCTGAGTTATCCAGACATGCCTCTGTCATCCATCAGATTTTTTCCGCGCGAAATGTAATCTGAGATGTCTCCTTCCCAAGTGGAGTAGGTGCCCAGGCTACTCAAACTATACCAGAGAACACCACCAGGAGGCGGACCACAACACCTTCCATCGTCGGCTTGTTTTTATAGTGTCGCCCGCACTCTCGCAACCGAAGACTTGGCACGCACAATGCTCAATTTGTAAAAACTCCTTTCCAAAACTCAAAATCCCACGCCTGTCGAGACTGTATCCAATCCTCTGCATCATCTTATTAACTTTTCCTGATCCCTCTCACATCCATCCCAAGGAATTGTCTTCCGGATTTGTGCGCCACGCTTTGCTTCCTCCGTTGGGTGTAAATATTGGCGTGGGCGTGTATTTGGTGACCGGCTGAGGCCAGAGAAAGTCGACGAGAGGTGTGGTCATTGAAACGAGGATGTACTAGGTCGTACTTGTAGACTTGATGAAGATTAGTTGAGAATCGGACTCTTTGGGAGTGAAAGATTGAAATGGTGGAGTAATTTGAAAATTTGCCTCGTGGGCCAACTTCTTTGATATTGCGAAATTTGACTGAACTTGGCTCTGGGAGAATATTTCACTCCCAGGTTCGTAGAGGACACCGCGTACAGGTGTTCAGTCTTGCCCTCCACGTGCATATGCTATGACACAACCTAAAGCATGTACCATGGTAAGTTACATGGATAACACAATAGTACCTTTATATGAGCCTCTAACAACTGCGCTTATTCAGAATATCCATGACTCAGCTGTCTCAGGTCATCCAGGGAGAGATGCAACGCTTGCCCGGGTCGCTAGTGAATATTTTTGGCCTGGAATAAGTAAATCAGTCCAACGGTTCTGTAAAAACTGTCATGTATGTGGGAGGTCATCAATCTGGCGACACCAGAAACAAGGGCTTCTTATACCGTTACCAGTACCTGAAAGATTCCATCGAGAGCTTTCCATTGACTTTATGGTGGAACTTCCTAAATCAAATGGTGCAACAAAAATTGTGGTAATCACTAATAGACTGTTGAAATCAGTGATACTGGAGGCTATGGATAAAATGGATGCAGAATCTTGGGCTAAGCGATTTATACAATGTCACTGGCGCTATCACGGATTTCCAAAGGCTTTAACTAGCGATAGAGGGACTAATTGGACAAGTAAATTCTGGTGAAGACTATGCGAATTGGTTGGAATTGAACAGAGGCTGAGCACAGCCCATCATTTTCAAACTGATGGAGCAACGGAAAGAATGAATCAGGAAGTCAAGACTTACACGAGAGCGTACGTTTGTTATACTCAGCACGACTGGTCTGATTGTCTCGCTGCGGCTCAGCTTGCGATTAATAATAGGGATGTAGTATCTTTAGGTGGCATAAGTCCATTTTTGGCAACACACGGTTATCATGTCAACCCAATCCAAATTATTACCGAACAGTCAAAAATCTCAGTATCTACAGGAAAAGAAAGGGCTGAAAATTTTGTCGAAAGATTACAAAATGTTACGACTTTCATACAATCCGCAATTGCTGCTATTTAAGAACGCTTCAAGGACTTCACGGATAGAAAGAGGCAACCAGGGCCAAGGTATGAAGTCGGTGATAAAGTTAGGCTACTACTGCAAAACATTAGATTAGAAAATCAACCTTCTAAGAAGTTGGGATGGCAACATGCAAAGTACACAGTCACTAAACTCATTTCGCCGGAAGTAGCGTAACTCGATATCCTTGGGAAGATAAATAACTGTTTTCATGTAGATTTAATCTTACCAGGAGATGAAAATCCGTTGCGGTCGCAAAAATTAGAAGATGAAAATCCCGGTCCAATAATTGAAATTGATGGCGAGGAAGAATATCAGATTGACGAAGTTCTAAGATGTAGGACAAAGAAGGGAGAGAGACAGGCCTTAGTCAAGTGGACTGGGATGGCGCTACCAGAGTGGACATCGCTCATAAATTTACAAGATGCTGCAGCACTCGATGTTTAGGAGAAGAAGTGGGGCTCAGCAGAGACCAACAACGGGCCAGCGTCAAGGAAGGAGGGAGTAAGAGGGTAAATGAGGGGGTAATGTTACGGTTTGACCGCTATTAGAGCTTAGGTGAAGACAAAAGCATATTGTGGGGAATATTTACAACAAGGCTGCATGGGGAGGATAGATGAAGCTGAACAAGGCGGCACTACTAGTCAGGAGGTCAAAGCGTTACTTCAACTAAGTAATATTGTAATTTGTTTGCTAGACCTGACGGTGTAGCTTATCACAGTTAAAGAGTGTATACTAGAATGCAGTGATGGCTCGTTACAGATGCGATTGCGACAATACAATTGAGGGTTGTATGAAAGTTTGGCACTTCTATGTGTCTCAATTGTGTGTAGGTTGATTTAATTATTGATGATAATTGCTTGTTATGTCTATCTACAGGGAATGTGCTACAGTTCTACATGTGCCCGTAATCGCTTAGATTTGGCCAGTGGGCTGTCACCTCTTTTACTTCGCTCCCGTGTTCCATCACGTGAGATGTATTAACTGCTCACCACAAGGTCCGCAGATTGAACAGCGTTAGGTCACAACAAGTAACACCTGGCAATGCGTGGCTGGGTAGCAAGTATTATGCCTAAGGATAAGTCGTCAGTCTGGAGATTGACGAAGGGGACCAATTCTTATAAATACCTGTTAGTCGTAGCTAGAGGTCTCTTTGCTCCTCATATAGTTTAATAAATCGATTTAATCACAACCAACTCGGTTTCTGTCACACCGTGCCACTCCACCGACGGACAGCAGAGTCATAATTGCCATACACCTCACAGCTCCTAACCACAACATATATATCAATGATCTTTCAAGTAACATAAGAGGTAAGAGCCACTGTACAAGGTGTGGCCTGGGTCAGAAAGGAGCCCAATGTGCTAGATAGTTGTGGACTCAAGTAGTACAATAAACAACACACACACACACACACAAATTACCTTTGGACATGCATACAACCAGACTCAATGTATTTATGCAGTAAAGAAATTGCTTAATTTTATGACTTAAACAATCTTGGTCAATTTTCCTACAAAGCTCTTCATATGATTAGGCAATGAAATTTCCGCTAAATAAAGGTATATTTATTCAAGGGTGCTCGAATATTGCAAGCCCTGAAATCTCACAAGAAAGAAACGTGGGATATGGTATTGCGCTGTAAATTTTGACTAGAGAGCCCTATTGCTATCGATGAAGTTTATGTGCTGTTTGTCATGTGACTTGACAAGCTTAGTTTAAATGGATAGGTACCTTAGTTACGCTCCAGGATAATGGCCACAATTGACCCCTGTACTTGAACCTGAACCTTGTGTAATCTCTAGTAAGAATGCCTCTTGTGATGGATGTTCCACTTGAACTTTGTATACTTTATCTGCTTTTTATGGGGAGAAGAATTAGAAGCTGTCATATTAAAAGGATGAGGTAATCAACTTACATCGTTCATGAGGATCAAGGACACCTTCGTAAGCAAAATATCCACTGCCTTTCCTACCAATGAACTTGATGCCTCCATATTCTCTTTGTCCAGCTCTTTGACTATCTAGACTTTCACCCAGTGCGTATATTGCATCTGCTCTTGCCCGAACATCAGAGTCTGAGACTCTTTTAACACCTGGGCACACATATACTGCAGCGTTTTCAGAGATGAAAAGGCCAAGAAAAATGGACAGCAAAAAAAGACGAGATATCATTTTGAATATGTCTCGAGAAATTTTATCTTCAAAACCGAGGAGCTTGATGCTTTATGACTTCCTTATTTTTGATCAGAGCCAGATTGACTTAAGTAAATATAATGAAAACTTACTGATGAAGTAGTTGATGTTGTTTGTATGTAAACTTTTGGGTAGATAATGATGGGTGAGTCTTAACTTTATATCTTTCAAGGCTTCATCATGAGGGATATCATCCGATGATTCATTTCAATCTACAAATTTATTATTAAAAAATTAGTTCAAATCAATTTCAGCTGCAAAAACCGTCAGCTTTATTACATAAATGTGAGTAATTTATGACAGTAAGAGAGTCCTAACCCGGCTCGTCCTTGGAACCTAAATATATAGACATTCTACAGCTAAATTAAAAACTATTTAGTTATTTTTAGGTACAGATATCATTTGTTGTGGAGTATTTTATAAATGTGTGTCAATAACTACACTGATCATCTGGGGATAAATATGGATTGTTGTAATTCTAACAGTCCTGCATCTGTTACACTAGTCATGTACTATCTCGTTTTCGTTTCCGTTATTCGTATCATTTAAATACTGCGCCACATCTATTTTCTGTAATATTAATTAGTCTTGGCGCTTAACACAAGATATGTTGGAAATTATGGTATATGCATGATTCTGTCTTACACTCAGCTAGCTTGGGGGTCTACTGGTGGTCAAGACATACCATCACCATGATAATGTCGCCATACTGGGACATGGGCGCATATCCTGGCTTATTTCTAAATTCGTCTCAGTAAGACTAATTCCTGTATATATATGTAGTGTTCTTCTCCTTCAGAAATCCTCAGTTCATTACATTTACTGAATATCTCTGAAGGTCTATTCATACCCTCTTCGTGTCACCCTACCAAGCTTCACCCTTAAGCTCTATTCAACTGCTTCGTTGTTCGGCATATATCCTTCACCTCCCTATACCATTCCAGCATTCCTCTACGATCCATAACCTCACAATATGGATATCCTTAGTTCCACCTTGGAGTTTAGCTGAATATGTTCGCTTGAAGCTTATGCACCAATGGCAACATTTACACCAGAAAGATCAAATACTGTGAGCACGCTCTAGCTTCAAAGATAATTGATTTGAAATGATGAGGGTTAAATACTTGTTTCATAAATATGGACATTTATTAGGAATCTAGATTTAGCATGCATGAAGATTTAGATTTGTAGGTATGATCATCGAGATCACTTTCATCCATTTGTTTGTCATGAGTAATTGTGGATGGGACAAAATTAGATTTAGTGATATTCTTGAAAATACCGAGTACAGAGATAAGTGAGGTCTTTATTAATGGTAGTTGATAGTAAAGGATATGCTTGTTTGCTTTGATACGAGTAGTGATATGGCCTGAATAATTTATCCTGAGGCAGAGATACTTAACGAGTCATCCAACTACCCAATACTCATTCATTCATTGATCTAGTTTAACGTCCTATGTGGTATCTATATACAGAACCATGAAGACGGTAAGCCGATTTGGTAAGGGAAAAAGCTTTCAACAAACAAAACCCGATGTCCTGCCACTTTGAACCGACCCGGCTTAATGCTGAGGACGTTCCTTTCAACCGCAATTTTATAAACTTTCCCCAGAATTCGTTAACTCCCCCTTCGATCAGACTAACGTTATGAAAAATTGAAAAGAGAAGGCACCTCCTCACTCGGCGTTGGTCTTCGAAGTGTTCGAAGAGTAGGTCCCGATGGCGGTGCTTCTGTCGAGGCGATGATTGGTGCCGCTGGGACTTCGACTACCTTACGCGGTCGTCCTGGCCCTCTTTTGAGTCCATCAGCCTTTTTACTGGTGACCAAAGTAAATCCCTGATCATCAGTTGGTCTGACTGTTTGTGTTGGCGCCATTGTTGGTTTCTCATTCCAAATATCTGCCGTCCTCGATAACAGCTCCATCCGAGCCTTCTCCACACTTCCCTTGTAAACCTGGTAGGTTCGACACGCTGCTTTCTGCCATGAACGATGTTCCTTGCCGCAGTTGGCACAAGAAACCCTTTTCCTCGGACAGTCCCGAGTTTGGTGAGCGCCAGCGCACTCACCGCACCTGGCTGCCTTTCCACACGACGCCTGCGTGTGTCCCCATTGGCTGCAGTTTTAACACTGCTTTGGCTGAGCCCGTGGCGACCATACCTGCGCGGTGAAGAGCATGGCGTTAATGACAAGGCCCTGTCGCACTACCTCCGTTTGCATTGCCTCCGATGGGAGGCTGACCACAATTGAACCGCGATTGCGACCGTTTTTCTTCGATCGCTGATGTTCCTTTCCATCATGTAGCCATCGAATTCTGCTAATTACCAGGCCTGGAATACGTGCCTTGGTCGCCGTCTCAATCTCCCTGATGATGGCGTAGTTGTTGGCATCTCTGCCACCCTCAATTCTTGTCCGCAGTGGGACTCCGGAAACCTCAACAGGAAAGTCTTGCCGCAAAATTTTGAATTCGCTTGGTTGTCGCATGTTAAGCGCCGCGTCTCTCTGGGACGCCGACTGGACAAACACCTCGGTGTCGTTACTTCGCATCTGTCGAATTGCAAATGCGCCATCGATATGTTGTTGTGCCTTTGACAGCAGCTCTTGTGGCTGCAAGTTTTGTGCGCCATCGATTCTTATTCTTACCGCTGTTTTCGTCATTTGCGGAGCCACGACCGACGCGTAGCTCCTTTGTGTCGGCGCGCCCGAAACTACTGCTGGTGCAGCTTTTCGAGCAGGATCCGCGAGGCTCTTTTTGACAACCTCCTCGAGCGCCATCATCCTCTCCTCGATAGGAGACTTCTTCATGGTCATTTCCGTCCAGGCCCTTTTGTGTGCGTTGAAGGCCTTCACGGCCTCGTTCACATCCTCCATGGAGGGTAAGTCCTCCTCATCCATCTCTCCCATTACGATGAGTCTAACCTGTTTCAATAGTTTCCCCAGGATTTCAAGGTTTCTATCCTTTGGAGCTGTCTGCGCTCCGCTGCCGTTGTTTGTTGGGGCCATTGTCGCATTTTGCGACGCGTCGAATCCGCTGGATTTACCCACACCAGCACCCACACTCGCCATGTTGGAGCACGGAAAGCGAAAAGATGGGAGGAGGGTAATAAAGATGTAAAAATAAGAATCACGATGTCAAATTGATGATACGGGCAGCGTGGAACGCTGCGCAGCTTTCTGGCAAAAATGATGTTTTTTCAACCCAATACTAGCAACAGAGATTAATTACAACACCATCTCCGAGACCGGCGTGCGGAAGGTAGTAATGCTATGCGTAATGAAAAGTATCCTTGGATAGACAATTAATAAAGACTCTCGGATATGAATGAGACTTAAGGATCTAGGAATCGCCCGCATATTATTCCCCAGATTAATTATCTGAGGAGATTGACAATCTAATCCAGACACCTTCATGCGTTAGACAGTTTATGGACGAGCCGGAAATTGCATTGAGGGATTATTCTGATTGTAAGTAGCGGAAGAAATGGCTTATCCCGATCTTCAGCTTCGCAATCTGTATCACTCCCTTACTCTCGATTCCAGTCTTCTTACGTATCTTTTTACCACACTCATTATCAAATTCTACTTCCCCATAAGTTTCCAATCTCCATCGTAAACCTCGTTCCTCACTTATCAACTTTGAAGACGAGGAGTTCTAACCTTCGGGAATCTCGCCGTGACAAGTGGTGTGCAAAGAGATAGCCGCCTTCGGGATTGGGAACGAGCCGATGATGCATTAGAGTATATCAGATGGACGAGGACAAGAGTAGCTTGTGGAACAATAATACAGATTGCAAAACTACAGAACTAAGTTTACATCCAACGACCAAGTACTGCTGCAGATCCTAGCGTGAATTGAGAAAATAGTTAGCACCTGAACTGTAATGAGCTCCACGCATCGGGTCAGTGTCATGGGCACGACTGCAAGGCATCAATCTCGGTTGCAGTTGTACTGAGCTTTGACATCTCTACTATTTCTGCAGTGAGATACACTTCGTTCATCCTACTAGGCTCGTTAGAAAGTAGTCCCGATCCACCAATACTTGTTGTTATAGATTTAATCTGTCCATAACTCTGAGCTTGATGATGGCCAGCAAGACGAAGAATATCATGACCTGTCATTTAAGATAAAAGGGCGAAAGGGCATTAATTAGAAGATAGGACCAGTATAGTGAGGGGTGATTAGCCCAGAGTAGTTATGGGCATTGTGAATGTAGTCGGAAGCATCATTATATTAAAGAGTAGTCAAGTGCGCGATATCTATATACACGTGTCATATCCCTGTCACTAATTACCAAACCCCGCACTGCCATAAACACCATCAATCTCTGCTATCTATCGTAATCCCGTGTATCAATATGAGTTACTATTATGCGGTATGTTTTTTTTTTTTTTTTTAAATCATTTAATGTGTATTCAGCTATCTAGCTATGACACATGACCGGCGCTATGTATACATGTAGGATGATTCTTTTGACGTTAGAGACACTCATACTCTGGATTTCATTTGCAAATACCACTATGAGGTATGTTTGCTTACACAAACAGTCGACCCTCCTCCGTTAGTACCCACCAAAGGGAATTTAAAAACCTTTGATTATCCAAGCATGCCTTCGTCATCCATGCATACCAGCGCCGCGAGAAATGTGGTTGTGTTTTGCCGGATTCGAACCAGCGATCTACTGTCTCAAGTGGGATATGTGTCCAAGCTATCCAGACTCTACTTGGCAGACCGGCCAAGATGATGTACCACCGCACCATCCAACCATGGCAGTTTTTATAGTGTCGCCTGCACTCTCGCAGCCGAAGACTTGGCACGCACAAAGCTCAATTTGTAAAAACTCCTTTCCAAAATTCAAAATTCCACGCCCGTCGAGACTGTATCCAATCCTCTGCATCATCTTATTAACTTTTCCTGATCCCTCTCACATCCATCCCAAGGAATTGTCTTCCGGATTTGTGCGCCACGCTTTGCTTCCTCCGTCGGGTGTAAATATCGGCGCGGGCGTGTATCTGGCGACCAGCTAAGGCCAGAGAAAGTCGACAAGAGGTGTGGTCATTGGGATTAGGATGTACTAGGTCGCACTTGTAGACTTGATGAGGTTTAGGTAGGAATCGATTTCGTTGGGAGTGAAAGATTGATATGGTGGAGTAATTTGAATCATTGCCTCGTGGGCCAACTTGTTCGGTATTGCGAAGTTTGACTGAACTTGGCTCTGGGAGAATATTTCACTCCCAGGTTCGTAGAGGACACCGCGTACAGGTGTTCAGTCTTGCCCTCCATGCGGTATGTTTGTACGGGTCAACATCAAGATAGAAATGTTAACACTTGACAAACAGAGACCGTGTATACCCCCAACTAGTGTTGCTTACTGCTATTAATAGGAGGACCGCACGGATTATCAATTGGGGTTAAATGGAGTTTGGTACTGTTGTGCTGGCTCGGTTGAGATGTTAGGAGACAGGGGAACGGAGGATTGGCTGCTGGATTAGGAAAGGGTGGAAAATACAGGCTGGTGCACAGACGCTATTCATGTACTCTACAATCTCTTCACCCGCCGAGAATAGCGTTTCAACCTATCCAAATAATATCATACTTCACATCATCCATTAGATGACATTATCAATCATCGGAATGCACATCTAGCATCACCCTCATAGATCACCATCGTCAGTAAGAGTTCACGATTGATAACTACCGACACCCATTTGGCCACAGTGATACGCACTCAGTGTCTATCGTCCCAATACCCAGCGTGAGCGCGCCTTCTCCGCGACTCACCATTGCACATGAGCACGTGTAACTCCACCGACGGACAACAGAGTCATAATTGCCATACACCTCACAGCTCCTAACCACAACATATATATCAATGATCTTTCAAGTAACATAAGAGGTAAGAGCCACTGTACAAGGTGTGGCCTGGGTCATAAAGGAGCCCAATGTGCTAGATAGTTGTAGACTCAAGTAGTACAATGAACAACACAAAAATTACATTATAGATAGTTCCTATCTATTAGAGTATGGAGAGGATTTCGGAGTAAGAATCGCCTGAGAACGGAGAAGAAGTCCAGTTTGCTTCATTGACTAATAGACTACAGGTATTTTGATATATACAGTGGAATTACAAGGAAGAAAGGTTATCCGGAACCGACTTGACTGCAGAAATGAGTAAGATCCTAGACCAGAAAAGAATTATCCACTGGCTCAGAATACTGGGTCATGCACTAGAAAATACGAACAAACCAATGACTGGATTTGTTCGGAAAGAATGGGATTCAAGCAGACTCAGGCGTTGAGTCCGATTGGATCATTAGTATGGGCTCCTGGGTTGGATGGTGCAGTGGTACACCATCCGGGCCGTTCTCCCAAGTATATACTGGGTAGTTGAACACCTACCCCATTCGAGACAGGAGAAAGCTGGTTCGAATCCAGTCAGACCCACACACCACACTCTCTCGCGGTGATATTGTACTTGTGGGATGATGAAAGCGCACTTGGATAGCCACAGGTTTATCACGCTTTTCCCTGTGGTGGTTATGCACGGAAGAGGTTATACGCTGTAAGGGTTAATCTCGAGTGGTATCTACAAATGAAATCTGAGAGTGAGTGTTCTAAACGTCAAATTGAGTCATCCTACTTAAAGTACATATCTTCCGATAAAAAACCTGCATGGGCCTCAAGGCGCCAAATCAGGTTAATGAATACTTATTATTAATATGGGCTCCTGCCTGAACTCGGAAATATAGTTCAGGCAAGATGCTTGCAACGACATTGGTTGATAGAAAGAAAAGCAGTAAACTGTATTTCCAACATTATCCCTTGCAATGACACCGTTTCCTATTTGGATATCTCTATCCCGCTCAAATATACTACTCTTGCGTTGAGATGTCAAGATTCAAACAAACTCAATGTAATCGAAAGGGTTCCTGAGAATAAAAGACTATTAAATGCCGAACTTATGTCACTCAGAATAGCCATTATATATTCGTATCTATTGTTCTCTAATTTTCCAGTATACCCTCATGTAGAATAGTATGACAAGGATAGATTAGTGTAGAATGGAGTAGTGTAGAACAGAACAGACTAGGATATCATAAAGCAGAGTAGCTCAGAAATCTTCGGACTTGGTTCTTATCTTCAGATGAGGCTCTCAGTCCGCGAAATCCTGTACCTCACAGCCATGTCTCATCCTCGGAGGTTTTACAATAGTCATATTGCCACTTGTAAGACTCTGCCTCTGAGAAAAGATTCCAAATAGCTCTACGTTAAGCTTGCCTTAGCCAGCGTAGGCTATAGCTAAATACCGGCTTACCAACTTTCACACTGTTCCCTTAATGAGCCCAATTATTGAGGTTTAGGCAAATTACTAATAATGCTGTATGCACAAGGATTTCCCGACTTAGAATACCTGCATATATCAGTAGCTATTAGGACAGCTTGGTATTATCTTGGAGGCTTCAGCAGGTATTTGGAGTGAAGTGTAATAAATATTTATCTGACATTAATCCTAAATGAGGAGCTGAAGGCCCTATTGATAAATAAGGGTTTTTTTCTACGTTTCTCTAAATTTATCTTTGTGAAACTGGGGTGTAATATTCATGTTTTCCCTACTTGGTGATCATGTGGTCATTAGTGCACATCATACAAGAGGTAATAGACAGTTAAACTCCGTCGGGGTAACCAAGTAAATTCAATTTCACCCTCACATAATGAGTTTTATTATAATCATCCTTCAACCAATAACAATTTTATTTGAAAAGTAATGAGAATCTTTTTATCTAGTCATAAATTAGCTTCATTCAGGATTCAAGTATCAGTTGAAGCAGAACTATTTTAGAGCTAAATAAATCTCTAATTTAAGTAAGATTGTTTATATTTTTACATTTGCTAGGAGTCTGAGCTAATTTATCTCTAATACACTTAAAGATTGAGATTTATTCTCAGAAAGTATCCCTCAAAAATGGTGCTTTCAAATATATAATAGATTATTTTAACCTTCGTCATCATCATCATCTCATCAATTTATATTTAAAATTCTTCGACTACTTTAGAAGTAAGTTTTCCTTCCATATATTGGTATGAATCCAGTCATAAATTGAAATATAAGAAAGACTTTTAACCAATAGGATTTCTAGAGAGATATTCGAAATTAAATCTGCTAATCTTGCTTCATTGTCCTTATTTTTTGGCTTTTTGATTTTGGAAAGTGCTGCAGTCTATATAAGCCCGAGTGGAGCTAGAATACCGGATAATGATGTCGAGACAAGAGCAAATCAGATTTACTCACGAGGAGTAACCCTCAACGCTAGTCGGACTCCTGATCAAGATGAAGTAGAAGATATCGACTTTGATGATGATGTAGAGGATGCAGAAAGGGCTTTTACAAGCGACTTTATTCCTCAGACCACATGTAAGTTGATTTTACTAACTTGGTGATAAGACAGCTAATAATATCTCTCTCTTTCTAAAGCTTCTGGTAAACATAGGATTACAGTCGATTTTCCAACAAAAAAGATAAAACTTATAGAGATTATAAAATCTGGGAACAGACGCACTATATCAGTTTGTAAAAAACAATAAAGCTTGATATTGTTAGCAATGTTTGAACTATTAGGCCTCCCTGACTAGAAAGTTAGTTTTCAAATTACATAAATGTGTTTAATTTGAATTTTCAAACAATTATTTATTCAAAGAGAAGGATAATAATTCACAAGATGTGATAGGCAGTCAAAAGATTAATGTTAAAAGAATAGTCGTCCTAATAATCTCTTTTTAATAGATTTGTCTTTTTTCTTAAAATCATTTAATGTGTATTCAGTTATCTAGCTATGACACATGACCGGTGCTATGTATTCATGTATGATGACTCTTTTGACGTTAGAGACACTCATACTCTGGATTTCGTTTGCAAATACCACTATGAGGTATGCTTGCTTGCACAAACAGTCGACACTCCTCTGTAAGTACCCACCAAAGAGAATTTCAAAACCTTTAGTTATCCAAGCATGTCTCCGTCGTCCATGTACACTAGCGCCGCGAGAAATGTGGTTGTGTTTTGCCGGATTTGAACCAGCGATCTACTGTCTCGAGTGGGATGTGTGTCCAAGCTATCCAGACTCTACTTGGCATACCGGCCAAGAAGATATACCACCGCACCATCCAGCCATGGCGGTGTTTATAGTGTTGCCTGCACTCTCGCAAGCGAAGTCTCGATGCGCACAAAGCTCAATTAGTAAAACTCTTGCCAAAATTCGAGATGTCACGCCCGTCGAGACTATATCCATCCTATGCATCATCTTATTAAATTGTCCTGATCCCTCCCAAATCCATCCCAAGGAACTGTCTTCCGGATTTGTGCGCCACGCTTTACTTTCTCCGTCGGGTGTAAATATCGGCGCGGGCTTGTATCTGGCGACCAGCTAAGGCCAGAGAAAGTCGACAAGAGGTGTGGTTATTGGAATGAGGATGTACTAGGTCGTAATTGTAAACTTGATGAGGCTTAGGTAGGAATCAATTTCGTTGGGGGTGAAAGATTGATATGGTGTAGTATTTTGAATCATTGCCTCGTGGGCCAACTTGTTCGACATTGCAAAATTTGACTGAACTTGGTTCTGTGAGAATATTTCACTCCCAGGTTCGTAGAGGACACCGCGTACAGGTGTTCAATCTTGCCCTCCTATAGATTTATTTTGGAAATGCTTATTAAAGAACGACTAATTTAGATATCCCAACTCGAAATGCGCTGATAATCTTAGCTCTTCTGTTGCACCATATCCATCATGGATGAGTCTTGTTGGAACAAAGTCACAAGTAGATTACAGAGACGCAAAAACAGAGTAAAGGAGAGATTAAATTAATGAGATGTTGCACAAATTATCCTGAAGCGCAACTTATCAGTCACATATATATAATTGTGAAGATAGCATCAATAACACAACCAATCAGAATAATTTTGCCTCATGTGAGTAATAGGTTGGATCATGAGCGGGAACCATAGGTACCATGACAGTTGGTCCCATTCTCGACACAATGTACAAATTATGTACTTTCTAGATTCCAGGAAGCATTTTACAGAGACTGTTTTTACTTCTTGTCTCTTTCCACAACGGGGGACTATCCTCAACACCTGTCAGTGGTGTCCCCTACGAACCTCCAGCTCTCACAGTAGAGTCAGCAGAGCCAAGATTGAGTAACACCTTATCAACTCTGAGCTGAGTTATCTCCTCCTCTGTCAAAGATACGCTTCCGATAACACATAAGACGACCAAGACGATGATATTGATGCTGAGAATGAGGAAAGATAATGCGGTACCAAACGTTACAACGGTAGTCAGAGAAGCCCTCGTTATATCACAACATGTGCTAACCACCGGCGGGCGAACAAAAAGCCCACGAAAGCAAAGTAAAAGACCCTTCCGCCCTCGAGAAAAGCAGATTTCGACTCGTCAATAATATCGTCCCTACTAATCCATACCTCCGAATCTACTAGCCAGGAGGGCATCTGAAAAACATGAGTTACTCGACAACCCCACGTCCGTAACGACTTTTGGATGCTAGGCTAGGCTCCTTCACGACAGTTGTTGGACTATTTTGGAAATGGGAGTAGAAAGTAACAAATCATCGAAGGGTTGCTTCTCTATTCTCTGGCTATCGAGTATCTAAAATACATAGTTTTCCTCACATGAAACCCTACTAGATAACTCGCTGGCAATAATGCTACCACCGAAACATACCAAATCGTGCTCAGGACAGATAAGATGAGAATATCATCGGGAACATAAATGTAAACCCAATTTAAAGTATGATTTATGTAAAATCCGAACAAAAAGATAATTTCCTTGATACACATCACGTATCAGTATTAACTTCTCCGACCTGAGTCATGTTATGAATAAATTCGGGTAAACCTAGAATGAACGTAGCTCAACAACAGTCACTCTCGACCAAGACTTTTCTGACATCCTTTCACGACCTTCGGTTTGTCCTGCGGCATGAATCAAGGGAGGAGTAAGGAGGGGGCTAGGAAGGTTGAGAGACGCTCTTAGGTATACATAGGTCTGCTGCGCCCGGCTGGCCGGCCTCTTCGTCATAGGAGAGCCTCGCACCCAGTGGTATTGGAGACTTTTCCCTGCAGCTACACACCCGCAAATTGCCATCGTTTAGTTGGCTGGAGATGGGTGATAATGACGAGATAACGGCCTCTCTTAGTGTGTACTCCAATGAAGACCTGTGGGGGTATTACTGCTGGAAAGAAGTCGTGAAGGAGGCATAGGAGGGAGTACTTTACCCGAGGCATAGATACTCCCGGCCTGTAGGCAGAAAGGACCCACATATCCTTACATAGTTATAGACTCATTAGAACAATAAAAACTCACTCACTCACTCTTTCCACAACAGGCAAGACCGTATTAACACTCATACTCCATATCATTTAACACTAGCTCGGTGTTACGGCCTTGTATTTCCGACATTAGGGGCCCCTAATACTAGTGTTCCTTTCGGGTATTGTGTTGTAATCCTATATGCGCATGGACCAGTTGTATATTATGTATATATGTGTGAGTTTCACTTGATCACAATTGAAACAGGCTGGTGACAAACATGACTTGTGGCACTACTACAGCTAATTCCGCAGAATGCAACAGTTAAGCTTGAGTTCTAATAAATTTGTCTATATCCTCCTTAAACTCCCAGCTCCAAAATCTACACTTTGTGTGTAGCTTACTAATTGTAGGCTAACCGCATTTAGAGGTCTATATTACATTATGTAGCCTGCTACATTTAGGATCCACAAATCATTTTTCTTCTCCAACTGAGCTGTCCGCAGCTCACCAAAGTTTATTGCTCAACATTACAACCCTCCACAGTCCTTCAAATTTCTACGATCCCGTTGGAACTGGAGACACAGAGTGTTGTGGATGTACGGGCCCTCCCTTTTGTCTAGGTTCCTGACACAATCTTGTGTGTATTTAATAGGTTGGACTGGTAACATGGAAGCGCTTCAGGCTATCTATTGGATATATGAGCCGCTGTATGGCGTGGGCAAAAGGAGATTATTGGGGCTTTTCTATGCCTAGATGGCGCCACACTCGTTTATGCTGTGGCTTAGGCTTTGTGTCGCTTACACTTGTACTTGTAGCACATACTTCCAACACTTCTAGCTGTAATCCGAACATGCAACTCATCAAGTCAACTTCTACTTTTGTTCCACAAATTTTGCGTCCATTTTATTACGCAATATTTCCAAAATTCCATACCCTATTCAGTACAATAACTGTTCCCTAGTGTCCAGCCAGAGCAGCCTTACAACTTCAGTCATCGGAGACACAGGCAGGCGTCGTGTAGAAAGGCAGACTGATGTGGCGAGTGCGCTGGTGCCCACTAGACTTCGGACTGCCCATGGATGTGACGGTTGGGAAAGTTCTCATGTTGGCTTGAGATGCACGATCAATAGTTTACGATTCTTCTAAAGAGAGAATATGTATGTACAAGAAGGGCTTATTTATACCCGCGCTCTCCTCCAATATGTGGCCCGCATCTGTTCCTAAGAGCGGACAGATGTACCTATGGGAAGTTCAGGTTTCTGCATTGGTATTAACTGTTTAAATTGGCGCTACTTGGCAATGAAGAGGCGCATTAGTACGGAACGTAATAAGGCTCTATTATTACTAGCCACATTCATGACGACTCATACATTGACCAGCCTCCCAATTATTTAGCATAAAGAAGTGAATCGTGTCCTTCACTTAGATGTAGTATTTTGTTTAAATAGCGCTCTGATACTAAGTGGGTTCATTCAACAACTCTCTACTATAGCTTTCAGACTCTTCAATCCCCCAACTCGCTTCGCTATGTGGTATCAAAACAAGTCTAACAGCTTAAGCTTCTCTGTACAACTCCCATTATAACAGTATGTTCACCTGAATCATAAACCTATCACAACACAAAAGAAATTTAAAAGGATGTTAATTGCCCATTTTGTCAGAAAGATAAGTGCTAGGAACACAACATATCGCTTTGTCAGGATTGGGAGTCTAAAAATGGGAAAAAATGGCTTACAGGTCAAAATTATCTTAGCCAGAAAAATATTGACTATCTTAAGAAAGGTTACGCAAAGGGCAAAGGAAAGTTTAAAGAAACCCAAGATGATGATACGGATAACAGTTCGACTTCGAAATTTAGAATACCAGTAATTATTGTTATTTGTTTGCTAGACCTGGTGGTGTAGCTTATCACAGTTAGAGAGTGTATTCTAGAATGCAGTAGTGGCTAGTTACAGATGCGATTGCAACAATACCATTTGAGGGTTGTATGAAAGATTGGCACTTCTATGGGTCTCAATTGTGTGGAGGTAGATATAATTATTGATGATAATTGCTTGTTATGTCTATCTACAGAGAATGTGCTACAGTTCTACATCTGCCCGTAATCCCTTATATTTGGCTAGTGGGCTGTTGTTGTGTCATCCATGTAGCTTACCATGGTACATGCTTTAGGTCGCGTCGTAGCATATGCACG